TATATATATATATATATATACACATTCTCATGGCATTTAGGGGTTGAAATTACAGTAAATAATCTTGTAAATAATCTTTTTAAAATAGCATGAGGTTTACCAGGGCGGTCCCAGGAATTTTTTCGCCCTTGAAAGAGGTCCTCAGACCTGAAACATTTGAGCTCCCCTGCATTTGACGACAGTTTGAATGATCTCATTTTGGAGAATCAGGGTTAAGTTTTTCTAGGAACTGTTACCAAGACTGCCATCTACTGCAGGTAAGATACTGACGCCACAAGACTAGAATTCAAACTTCATTTTTGCTCCTTTACTATTTTGATATTCAGTGTTTCCTGTCAACTGTTAGCTCCAAAATCAGTAGTTTTTTTTATTTATTTCAGCTGATAGCTTCAAATATAAAAGTTTACTGAGGCTCTCTGACCAATCAGAGCTTCGCTTCACTCTGCCCTCAGTTTATCAAATTAAGTCTAAAATCAAAACAAATGCAAAAACAAACAAACAAAAACCCTCTAAGAAAATCACATTCCTTGATATTCAAATCTGAGCTTATCTGAAAGAGTTTTTATGAGTGACTTCCCTTTTTTAGTTGATCCTCACCACCTGAAACTGCTGGGTAACAACAGCCACAAATCAGCTCCTCCTTCATCTCCGAGACCATTTAACCTCACAGGATGTGTGTCACATCCCCGTCAGCTGCTGGGCTCATCTTCACAGCTGATCAAAGCAGCACAACACGACAGACAGACAGAGACTGAGCGACAGACAGGAGGAAGGACAGCAGAGCAGCGTGCTCCTATTGTGTGGGGAAACACCAAACGATCCCAACAGGGTGAAAAGGTTTAAAAAGAAAAATATCAACAATCAGTCGGTTTGTTTCTCACCTTCACTCTTCGTTTCTGCGCCCAGTCCCTCCAACTAAAACAAGCTTCTTCTTTTCTTTTTATTTTATTAAATTGAAATGTTTCGGCTGTAATAATGAGATGCAGAGGAGGCTCAGCCGGTTAATACACCGGTTTGTCTCTGCTAGAGGAGGAGGAGGAGGAGGAGGAGGAGGAGGTGGGTCGCTCCTCTCGGTTCTGCTCTCTGAAGACATTACGAAAGTGCCGGAAGTGGCCGAACAGTCAAACTGTTTGTGGAAACAGAGCTCCGGAGGTGAGGACTCGACCAACACTCAACACAAACTCCAACCAGCTGCATCTTCTCCCCCATCCCTCTGGTTTTATTTTTAAAATAAATTGTTTATTTGAGCTGTAAAAGTCCACAACATTAAGCAGTGGTATGCTCTTTTCTTTCATTTAATAACATGGGTAATAATTTTGTTTATTAAGTTAAAAAGTTGGAAAAAATTATACCCAATCAGACTCTGAAAGCCCATTAAATCACATGGCATGTTCTTTATAATTAAACATTATAAACTTTGTTTTATTTTATGTCTTAAATAAGAAAATGCATCACCATGTATCTGTTTAAGTTATAGATATTGCAGCTACAAGAGAGAAAGGTTGATTGAAGCAGATTTAATCGTCTCCAAGTGAATGTTTGTTTTTATTAAACTGTGCACCCTGTCATGCGTTCATGTACTGCCCTCTAGTGGCCAAAGCTCAGCATAGCATGAGCAGGTAAACCGGAAGTACAGGAAGACAGCAGTCAAATGACAGACAGGCTGATGTGGTTATATAATGTTCCTGTACTGAATCATAAACAACACACCAAGTTGTTATTATTTGTTTAAACTCTTTTTAGCATCGTATTAAATTCTATTTAGGTTTGACCAAAATAGCACTCTTGTTACAAATGTGACTTCAGTACTGACGTCGAACAACAGCTGTGGCTAAAATGATATTCATTCAGAGATTGTCATTACGATAAACTGGAGTCATAGTTATAAGAGATTGAAAACTAGCATTTCTTGAAGGAAATGCACATCACCCGTTCATGCCAGAGTTTGAAACTAATCTCATAGTTGTTTGGCCAAACTTGGTTATTTGCTTCAGGCAGTAGCTATTGTGGGATCTTACAAGATGTATTAGAGTTCAGAGTATATGTAAAGTCTCAGATACTACAGTATCACACTTTAAAGCTATTTTTGTGTTGGCTAAGGTTAAATAGCTATAACAGCCAGCTTGAACTGAGGTGACTCCAAAACTTAATCATTTGTAGATGTTCACTCAGCTTCTGAGAGTTTTCATTAAAATCTATCTGCTTAACAAGATATTTTGCTAACAGACAGTTAGTGTCGACTGTAATGTTTAATGCCAAGGTTTTAGGCAAAGGCGTCACACAATGCATATAACTTGGAGTATGTGTTGTGGATAAATTTCTACTACCACTTAAATACAAGCACAATCTGTAAAGTCGGCTAAGACTTTTGTATTTTGGTTAATGTTGATCCTTTTCCAGCTTCCTTTGACAATAAAAATGATCTGTCGAAGGAATAGCTTAGCTTCTTTCCTTTCTCTTGTCTGTTTTTTCTCTTCTGAAGTATAAATTTGCTCATGTCTTGATGTTTTCTCTCTCTTCTACGCCTTTAGATTAATGAGCGTGTTGCTGTTCCTCTGCACCTCTGAAAACAGATGATTCTGTTTGTGCAAAGTCATCAGGAACCGAAGAGCAGAAAAGAGAATAGACGTCAGACAGATGAGTGAAGCGGTGTGTTTGTGTTTATATAACCGATGTTAGATATCTGTGGAGCGACATGAGAGATGGACGTCATTAGATGCTCCGGAAATTGGAACGAGGTACGAGGCGCAGACGTTTCCTTTAAAAATTTCTCTGCCTGTCACACTTTTTACCGTCTCTTGGATCAGTTTCAGGCAACCCTTTTTTTTCATCAGAGATAGATTTTTAGATCAAATCGTAAAATTCAACTTCATCTTTTCTGCTGGCTGGGAAACAGAAAACTAAACACACAAATCAAATCTGTGTCATCACAGGACAGGATTTTTCTTTTTTTTAACGTAATACAGGTAAAATGTTAAACTGAGGATTCTGATTGAATTTTATCAACAATAACAAGCACATTCTAATGTATAAACTGTATAAAACATATAAAGTGTTGACTTTATACTTTATAAGATCAAAGGAACCTAGAAGTTGGATCTTGCACATTCTTGACATGTGAGCAGCAGAAGATTCTGACAGTTACATATGTGAGTTTTCATGTTTCTACAGTGTTTTATGCAGGAGATATAACAGGTAGGAAAGACTACACTTTTAGTTTAGAAAAGAGTAACTTCATGTAAAATAAAACTGAATCCATGGAAGTTTGGCGAGTCTTCTCTGTGTTCTGAAGAGATTTGAAAGAAAACCTTAAAGTGCCTGTGACATATCCTTCAAATACAACACATGAACAAAATCGTATATTTTATAAACATGATTTTACCCATTTTGTCACATTTTCCTTTAAACCGAGCTCAGCCAAGGTGAAACAGGAAGTGACATCAAAGGGGAACTCTTGAAGAAAAGGAACTGATTTGATTTGATTTATTGATTCAACAGGAAAAAAAATATTAAAAATCAAGCCTGACTCAGCATAATTGCTGTTTTACAGCAGGTTCCTGTTCTGCAGCACATAAAACACTCAGAATTACAGCACCACAATCACATCATTATACACCATAGACACAAAGACAAACAAGCATACCAAATTTCAGGAAGGCAGCATTTGCAAAATAGGACATCTAAATATGAGCACAACAAAAAGTGTCCAGCAGATGGCAGACAAGATTCTTCTTAAAGGGCTGTAGTTTTGAAATGGACTTTATGTTTTGAGGAATGTCATTCCATGCTTTAGTATAAACATAGAAGAAAGACCTCTGGCCGTAACAGTTTTTAAAAGTTAGTAATGTCAGTTGTCCTTTTGTAACAGATCTAGTTGAATGACCACTTCCAGAATTTGATTTGGGCAGCAATGTACAGAGAGTTCCATAATTGGCACCTTGGAAGATCTGAAAATATAAATTAATACCACTATACAAAACATAATTCTGAAAAGTCAAGGCATCAGACAATGAAAGAACTTTACAGTGATGAGTCCAACCAGGAAGTTTTTTTTATGAATTTTGTAGACCCTGTTGTAGAGCCTAACTATGGGTTCTAAGATTTCATTTGTTGTAAGAGACCAAACAGGTAAACAGTACGACATGGTTGAGAGTATAATGGCACGAAGATAGATATTTGAAAAAGAAGATGTCAGATTGGATCTAATTTTTGAATAAACGTATAATTTCTGTTCTCCCTGGTCTTTTACTGAAACAATATTGTTTGAACTCTGTCTCTTCTTCATCTCTCTGATAATGACTCAAAATAATCTAAAAAAAAAACAGGTTTTTCTTTACAGTCTGGTCTGTGTTTTCAGTCATTGTAGCAACACTTTGTTCACATTAAGACATTCACTTCCTGTTACTTCACATGCAAAAATCTCAACTTCTGTTCATCTCAGCAGTGTGAAATTGTTTTAGCAATATGTTAGCAATGTTATCTTTCCAAAAATACATTCATATTAATTACAAAAAAAATGATGTCACAGGCACTTTAAGGCCTACAGTGCTTGTATAATTTGGACCAACAAAGTTGTAGAAGTAAGAAGAGCTCGCCTGCGAAGCTTCTGGAATGTTTAGTTGACTCTTAAATGCATTTCACACATACTGGCTTGAGATGTTTAGAATATTTTATAATTAATGTGCAATCAGTTTATTTTGAAGCTGTGATTAGTGTTCACGTTGATGTGAGTGACCCGTGATATGGGATTAGTTAAAACACACCTGACACTAAACAACAAACACAGACGCACGTTTTTTTTTCATTAAATTTAAGGATTTAGGTTCAAGGATAGAACTGCAAGACAGGGTGGGCTGTCCATATCGAGTGGTCTGGTCCAGAAGAAGAATGTATAAAACTGTGCATCATTTTGGTTCTGTAAAACTCATTTGACTGAATAAAGGTCTGTTTTTGGTCCAGCTGAAGGTTGCATAAGACTTAATATTCTGCAATTAAATGATCAAGTCTAAATGCTGAATTTGGCTGCAAAGTAACAACACACTTTATTATAAAATGATGAAATATACCTGAGATTTTATGTTTTTAATGTCACCTGACAGCTAAAGAAAGCAAATTGTTAGCTTAATAACATAATAGCCTAAGTCATTTTTTTGCCAAATATAACTAAGACAATTATGCTAATAGGCTAACGGAACATTAACACAGACCAAAAGCTTGAAGCTCTATGTTGTGTTCCTTTCTTACACTAGATGTGGCTACCCACCTCCTGTAGGTTTGAAATGTTCAAACTGAGACATGACAAGTTCTCCATCCTCTCATTCACAGGATTTCTCACAGAGCTTCTGCCCAGTTATCCAGAGTTCTGCTCTGTGGCACAAATGACATCATCCTCATTGCTGTAGACACGACTCCAATTCATCAATCTCCTGCTCCATCCTGCCGTCTCATGAAAAAGACCCCCGGATATAACATTTAAACTCCTCAGATTGAGGTAAAGACTCATTCCAGATCTGAAAGCAGCTTTCCATAACGTTAAAAATGAAGCAGTGCATAAAGTCAAGGACTCAGAGATTTCCACAAGAGAACTGAAACGGTTTGGTTTGTTGAATTCTCGAAGGTTTCTTGCTGATGGAGCAGGCGCTGGAAGAGTCAGGCTCTGGCAGTTTTCTGACAACAAGTGTGTGAATGCAGCAGCCAAGTATTTATGAATAGTGGGTGATGAATTGAAGCCGACCAGGCCTTGAATAGCTGCTTCTGTGATTAAATGCACAAATGGAGTGACAGAGAAGGGGGGGGGGCGCAGAACGTATAGAGGCTTAGCCTAATTAAATAAGTCCAGACTGGTTTTTACAGTAAAAATTCTTTGATTTGGGTTTTTAATTTCAGCATTTTTGAATTGAGCAAACTAAACATGAATAATTAATTACCTGTGTGAAAATCTGCTCACACAAGTTTGTATTTATAGTTTAATTTAGCATATGAAAACACCAAAGCAGTGAAGTTTGAGCTTTCATCTTGTCTTTATTGTTTCGAGGCTTGTGCTTGTTCTCACTCTCCTTTCCATACTTTAGTTTCAGCATGAAGGAAATCACATCCTCTGTTATCAGTTCTGCCATATGTTGCTTCCTGTTTAACAGTCTTTTAAGGATCCTTATGGTGAATTAATGTGAGCAGTGCTCCCATACGAGCACTTAAGTTGTTATTTATTCCAAAGTTTATCACAAAATACATGCATACTGCTAAGTTAGTGCAGAATGAGACCCCACAACTTCCCTTTTTCCTCATCAGTAAAGCTTGAGATTAACACCGAAATGTTACAAAGCTGCTCAGCCATGCCGTTCTTGTGTCTGTCATTGACTTTGTTTGTTCTCCCTCTGTTCTCTCCAAGACGCCATTTTTTTTCTTTTGCCTTTTTGATCCACAATGCATCATAAAAAAACATTTTGATAAGCTCAGCCGTGAACCAAACGGCTCACAGATCTGGTGCGAGACAAAGAGAGGAGCTCGCTAACACGCAAATTAAACTATATGTATATAATCTCTCCGTGTGTGTGTGTGTGTGTGTCCCAGGGGTGACAGTTCTGTTTGCCTCTAGCAATTGTATGAAAATATTTGTAGGATCTTTTTTTATGTTTATTTATAGGGTTTTTAATTCAACATTACAAAATGTCACACAGTTTAACAAAGAAAAAAATCAAACTACAACAGCACCAACATAAAAAAGATATTGAGAACTAAAACCAAGCACAAAAGAAGAAAAAAATTAATAGAAAAACAAAAAAATTGAATCACAATTTAATAAAAATGCTAGAATCCAAAAGAGAAGAGAAGAAATGATCTACTATGTTAAGCTGAGCAAAGCTGCGACTAAAACAAAAGAAAACAGTTTTACTGAGTGCTGAAAGTGTGAGGAACAAGTCCTGGAGGGAATCAGTGTCGGACAGACATGACATGTCACAAAGTGCAGTCATGGGTAGCTGACTATTATATCCCTGTTTATTCATTTCACTCAGTTTAACAAATTCGAAATGATTATCAGCCAATTGATACACCTATCTCATGCAGCCAAACAGAGGAGGCGACTTCCACGCTCTAAGAATTAGTCTTTTAGCAACAATCATGCTAAATATTAAAATTTTCTGAAAAGTAGTGCTGAGGAGGCAACAGCAAGGACACAATCTTGGGTTTATTTTTATATTGTAGATCAAATCAAATATTGTTAAATTTAGTGTAGAGCAGGACCAGAACACGTGTCTAAGATTTCCATCCTTTACTTTGCGTTTATCACATATAAGAACAGAGTTGTAAAGTAACTAAGTACAAATACTTTACTTTACTTAAGTAGAAAATTTTGGTTCTCTGCATTTTACTTAAGTAATGGTTTTGCGGTCGACTTTTTCTTCTACTCCATACATTTTTATACAACTATCTGTACTTTCTACTTTTTATATTTTTTTTAAATGTAAGAAGTTGGAAGTCATTACTCCTATTTCATTCTGGTTCATTATTGTAAAAAAATACTATCCTGATAAATTGTGCCTCCTGGATTAACTGTAGTTTGATGAGAATCATAAATATATACCATTCTGACACCATATTAGTTTGTACACAATCCATCACAGATGCACACCTTTAGTAAAAGTGTAAACATAAGTGTTATTTTGGAAAACCTAACTGCTCATTTTTATTCACTACTTTTACTTCTAATGCTTAGTAAGTAAGTACACTTTATATCTGAAATTTGCTTTTGATACTTAAGTACAAGAAAAATCTGATTCTTTAGGACTTTTACTAAAGTAATATTCTTAGAGGAGACTAACTTTTACCAAAGTCATTTCATGATAACATACTTGTTATTTTACTCAAGTATCACTTTGTGGGACTTCATACCACACTGGTGAAGAAATATAAGGAGAAATATTATTTAACTTTGTTTTTAAAAATGTAAACAATGTATAACTTTAAAATGTTGCAATCTGGCATTAAAGGAACAATCTTTAATCTTCAATCCAATGGCCCCATAAACATCAGATGTCTCTACTGCGATGTAGAGCATCCTTGATGTGATAAGTAGGTGCTGTAATATTAGTATCTTAATAAAAAACAAGCACAATTTAGGTAGTAATTTAAAGCAAAATCTATTACTAAAAATCTTGAAAACAAAAAAGTGATTGCAAATCAGTTTCAAAGAAATATTTAATAATCAAATTAAACTTCCAAAATCCCACTTTCTGTTTTCCCCTCTGTTCTGCTACATGACTTACTGGGTCGCTGCCCAAACAGAATGCTGACGAGGAGCAAATTCTTTTCCGTTGCCCACATTACAGTAATTAACTCAACATTCTG